TCTTACGTATATGTGTAAGAAAAGGAAGAAAACAAAAAAAAATCTACAGCCATCGTTTTTTTCTACAGCTTCAAAAATGAGGATTTAAGAAATATGAGTTTTACAGCCACTTTTTTTTTTGGATGTAGCTTTAAAAAATAAAGATACAGTATGATTGGTAAACAATGTTTTAGGATGTAACTTTAAGAAGAAAAAGTTAAAGCATGGTTGGTAGAGAATTAAAGGTTTAAGTAAAAAAATGGCTGTAAAAGCTACTTACAGCCCAACCAATCATGCACATTATCTTTATGTTTTGTTGTTTGTTTAGAATGTATAGTGTATTTTGTTAGTACGCATCACTGATGAAGAGTGTCTTAAAAAGTAAAAACGATTAAAAAATCATTTAATTAAGTGAACCCCATCAAAATGTTATATAGGAAAAATTTAATGAACTCTCCATTTAGGGTGTCAAAGTGTTTTTAATCTTAAAAAATTACTTAAGACCTTTTATGAGTGTCTTAGATAATAATGTTCTTAGAGACTCGTAAAAGATCTTAAATAATTTTTTAAGATTAAAAACATTTTGATTCCCTAAATGGAGGGTTCATTTTAAATTCTTCTCATAGAACCTTTTGATGGAGAGTTCACTTAATTAAATAATTTTTTAATCATTTTTACTTTTAAGGCATTCTTAAAAGTATGTCTCTCCATTAGTCTTACACAAGAAACAACCCGAGGACACGTTTTTTCGTTGGGACATGAGACAAAAATGGGCATTTTGATTTGACAATCCGTAGGAGTTGCACAACTAATTCATATACAACATCGTTTACTCCGGTTAAGTAAACACTGAAATGCTAAACCGGTCTACTAAGGAAACTTTGATCCTTCAGCCTTTCCATGATGATCCGAGAGAAAAAAGGACCTTTTCTACAACTCTTGTAACACTTGCTCGTCTACAAATTGACATGGAAGGAGAAGATAGTTAGGATTTGTGTAGCTTTACTGCGAATATCCACAAAATGAAGTTTATGATTGAATTTAATGGAGAAGACAGAATTACTCACTGAGTATAAAGTTTGGCAGGATGGATTCTGATGGTTTAGGTTTGGCTTCTTCAATTACTATCTCAATCGAAGAATCGCTTGAGAATCCTAGCTTCTGCATTATTTTCTCTAATCTTTTCCCGTTTGTTAGATACAGATAACCAATCTGTACGATTGAAACAGAGAACGCGGGTAGTTTAGAACCACGCAAATCAACTGACAACAAGAATATTTATCTTCAAGCATAGTTAAGAGGCACAAAGACGAACACATTGTAAGTTTTGGATATCCCGGCACTTACTAGTGTCTCCAATGATGATGCCTTGTTATAAACAGCAGTACCTGCACGCCTTCTTGAACGTGTCCTCACCGAACCAATATTCTTTCCCCACTTGAGTACATCCCTGGAGCAAATGAAAATTCATCAGATGGATAATATCCAACGTGAAGTGAAATCTTATCGTAGTGAAAGTAGAGAAAATCTAGATACTGAAATAATGGATTTTGTGTACTGACCTCTCTTGCTTTGTTAGGAAATCATCATCAACGAGTTTCTTCAGCAATGCATACTGAAGAAGATTTTGAGAAAAAATAGCAGTTAACATATTATGTTCAAACAGCGAAATATGATAAAAGCACCACTCCAATGATATGTTTTAAATTAGTGAGATGACGGACGAAAAAGAAACCTAAGATGGTTGTGCTGATACCAATACATAGAAGTAATGAATTATCGCATTAATGGTGTTACGAGGTGAAAGCTATACAACTACTTAGAAAAATCATGAAAACAGACAAGCACCAATACTATGCTTCTTCGAGAATGGAGATAACATAATGACATCATAGCATTTGCAATACTGATTTGAGAAAACAGAGGAGAGGTCAAAAGATCATAGTACCTGTGCTTCACAGCGCACCACAGCTCTAACACGATCGTTATAGTCTTCGATACTAAGTGGAGGGAAAAGAAAATGTCTACGAGCATATAGCTGCAAAACCAAGAGAAACCATTAGTGAAGTTTGAGATAGTAAGATTCGTGAAAGAATACGTACACTAACATGATCTGCATTTGACATATTGACAGGCTAACAACACTAGAGTCTGATTTCCTGCAGTGATCACGAGAAACTAATTCTGGAATGAAACTTGCTACTTCTGATTAAAGGGAAAAGCTACCAAGAATTGAGGGCAACAAAAACTTGCTTACAAGCATGAAAACATAAAGCTCAGAGTGCAATGGAAAACGAACCTCATAAATGGAATCGCCTATAAAAGCTAATGAAGCAGCATTGAAGACTGATCTTGGTCTCTCCAACTTTGGTGGACTTGGAGACCATCTCTCATATCCCATATAACTATCATCAAACTCATTTTCAGTTTTGTCTACATACACAAACACACAATTAGTAAAACCATCTCTAATACAACCAGAAAAATTGGAAATTTCAGAAAGAAAAAGAGAGAACTTTTGATTAGGGCTTGTTTAATCAAATGTATACTAAAGAGATTTGATAACCAAACATCGTAATTACATCAATTTCTGAGCTTAAAGCATCAACCTTTACTTGCAGGTCGTTTGAGCAAATCGGCGACGGAGATGCTGATTCCCGGAGACGGTGGGTTTAACGGCGGCGGAAAGAAAGAATTGCTGTTAGGGTTTTTCTTCACTTTCCGAGGCGCATTAGGGTTGTACGGAAGCCTAGGTTGTGTATCCAACGCAGCTCTCACGGTGAAGCTCGCCGATAAAATCACCATTTTTTTTTCCTTTGAAGCTAAACTCTCTTTCGAAACGATAAGACGGTGAGATTTCGTTTAGACACGTGGCGTATTGCTATTTGTCTGTCAACATTAAGATTTAACAGCCTCCGTTAACTTTTCGCTGTCGTCGTATAAGCCCTCTTGGGCCTAAGTTGGGCCTTTTTTTCATTCTTTACAGATTCTCTCATTTCCCATGGACATGAAGATCTTTTAGCTTGTTTTCATGTGTAGTAGCTAGAGAGGTAGTAGAGGGTGATAAGAAGCGAATCCTATATGCTTTTTCAAGGATCATATATTGTTTTTATGAAGAAAATATTTTCATTTGTCGGTTTTGTATCTCTTTCGATATTTTCACTGATCACCTCCTTATTGATTATAGGGGTCACTGCTTACTTGGAATAATGTTTTTCGACTAATATGTCTTTTTCCATGTGTGGAGACCTAAAACTTACTTTTGTGGTCCATGAATCTCCTCTTTAGTGTGGTGTGTTATATACTACTTGTCGACACCTACCCGAGGACCCTCCAGATTTTTTACCTGTTCTTTTGCACAAGATTAAAGTTGAAAACTTTATTTATATTTTGAAATGATAATATTTTAACCAGAGAGACTCATTTATTATGGCATTTCTTTGGTAATGTAACTGTCTATACGTTTTTGTTTATGTTTTTTTTGTCATGTAGTAGTTGCAAAGTTGGTTTGGGGCACATGAGCAAGTAGTACCATAGATTCAACAGCGAGCAAGAGCTCTGAAAATGGATGTTGGAAGAGAACGTAAAATCAACATTGATACAGTTTAACCTAGCCAAAATATGTGATGAAGATAATATATATATAGCTTTTGACTGATTTGAGTTTGATTTTGAGATTAAACTCTGGCTTGTTGATGTTTGGTTCAGTGGTCATGTGGGCATAAAAGACCGAGTAGTTACAATGATTTTAATTCTTTGGTGTTTGTTTAATATTAACATTTCCTAATTTACAACAAACGTATTGTTATCTTGAACTTATATTTTCTCCATAGCATAAATTTCATCGAAGGGACAGAATGTTAGTGGTTTTGCATCAATTCATAAAGAGGACAAAGGATCGTGTTCTTAGCTATCCAAAACCCTAGAGATTGTGAAATCAATTGGGGCAAAAATATTCTCCAGATTTTAACTTCAAGTGGTTCTTCACATGGAGATATGGTCCAGGTGAAAACAACCCCACAATCCCCAAAAATTATCAATAACATGCATTAACATATGCATATTATTTGGCTCTCATTGATTTCAAATTGTTTTTATTATTTTATTTCTGTCAATTCTCAATCTTTGAGACTTTTCGAGCAAGCAAAATGTATACAGATTTACATAAAAGTTAGAAAAAAACAAACTTTCAAATAATTTATTCAAAAACCCTCTCGGATTTCCAAAGATGCACGACCTTAACTTAAAGGAACTCATGCAATAATTAGATATGATCAAAGCACTAATTTGTATAGTATCTATCATTTTTTTTCTTTATCAAAACGTATATACAATTAAAGTGACGATCATATGGGTAATAAGATAGCTCCCGTGTTAGGTATTGCATCAATGAAAAGATTGTAAATGGCGTTTATTGATATGATAAAAGAATCATAGGCTACCCAAAAGAATTAATATTTTTGAGAAAACTATTGTAAAGTGAATAAAAAGGGAATGAAAATGTTATTGTTTGCATTAGTCAAAAGGTTATATGCAAAATTATAAAACAAAGATTAGCTTTTTAGGCTCAAAGTTTGTATAATCAACGATAATCAAGTATTTAAGCGGCTAAAGAATCTCGCTTCCTTAGATTCTACTATATTATACCAATCATAGTCATAATACGTGCATACACAACTATTTATTTATGTATATTTCTACATAGGTTATGTAACTTATATGTATACGTTTATATGGAAGTGAGAAGGTGCGCATGTGCTCTAATCATGAGGGGATTGAATTGGCCATAAAGAAACGTATCATACTTTTCTTATAGAGCTTCATTTGATTAAATACGTAGTGTATTTCAAGATATACATGTAGATTAACGGGTTCGAATATCACCAATTACGTCTATTGTTAGCATTCATTTCACTATTCCAAAGTGCAAACTTTTAAATGGTAAAAATATCCGGATTTTTACAAATATCGAAGCTTAATGTAAATTTCGGTTATCGAATAATCGACTATGGTTTTTAATAAGCCGGCCCGATTACACAAACTAAAGCTTCGGTTCATCTCTAAATGTTAAGTAATAAAATATATTTTAACCGGTTTCTGATCTCATATCATACGAACCAAAACAAAAGCAAACCATATATTTTCAGTCTCAACAAACCGTTCTATTCTGCGTACTTAAGTCATTCGCAACGTCCTACTAGCCTACCAAATGTTCTACAGCAACTAGATCGTATTGCAAAAGGTCATCGATTCGACGTCTTCTAAATAGTACAATAAATCAACTAAACTATAGCCACGTATTGGCCTGTGTACGCACTACACACATATGTATACAAATGTCTTCTCATGCATATCTTTACACATACATGATATATATGGGCATGCATGTATCCAATATAATCGTGAACAAAAAAATGTGTAAATATATGTGAAATAAGAAAGGTGGCCTAATGGAATTTCGCACGAAGGCGCACCCAAAATACCCCACAAGCCAAAAGACAATTAGCACACTTTTCTTTGATATATTCAATATATATTCTATAACTATTCTCTATACAAATATTCCGTATACAACCTTACTTCTCCAAATAATTAAACTTTTTGAACAAAAAAGATTGATATTTGTTTGGCTCAAATAATCGATATACAAGTGCCAGCTTCATCAAAACAACTTTTTCCTCTCTTTTTATATATGCACAATGCTTGTAGAGAGTTTTTTTTGTTGCTTACATGTCCATTTTTTTTTCATGTTTTGTAAGGAACTAACTCATTTAAACCGGAGACCATAATCTTGAAAAAAACAATTACATAAATAAGACACAAATCATAAATATATGCTTCTTCTTTTTTTGAACTACACTTTATTCATTTGTTC